CAAACTTTTATGTTTGGGTGAACCATTCCTTTAAAATGAACACATATCTTTCCAGATAATTCAGTGTTTTATGTATACCGTTTTTGCATGTCTCAGCATTGCAAGATGATGATGATTTTGTCGTGTACTGTGCATGTTTTTTAAACAGACTCCTGTGAGTTTAATTTCTCTCTGTGAATGAGGACTCCATGTTCTCCTCCGCTTACTAATTGCCATGAGGCCAGTGAGGGTCTCATTCAGATGCATTGATGTTTGCCCAAATGATAGCAAACAGAGGCGGCCTATCCTCTCTGCCAGCCGAACACACACAGAGGCTTTTGTTAGACGAGAGGGCCTTAGAATCACACATCTCTTTGCTTCTCTCACTTTATTTCTCGCATTCTTTAAATTTTATAAAGCATTATCATGTTTTTTGTTTAATATCATTAATGTGCCTGATGTACGGCGAATTATGCATAATAATCCCAACCCCAAATCAACTTTTTTCAATGCTTGCAAACACTACTAATTATAAAGCAGCTGTTTTAAATGACCTGTTTATGATGTTTCTGCAGTACTTGTTTAATTAGATATTGTTTTAAGTCACCACCTGATCTTATCCTCAACTTTCTCTGCTTTGCATCTGTTAAATGAACAAGCTCCAAAAGTACTAGTTGCGTTTATGAGTCCGGTGTGTATAAAACCCTCCCTTTGTCTCCCATTACACTGTTTTACCCTCTGTGGCGTGCCGGGGTTTGTGAATAAACAGTTCAGCTGTTATTCTTCAAGTCTCATAAGGATCAATTATTGGCTCTTTTTCTCATTTCTCCATTAGTAGGTATTGTGGTTGTACGGTGGAGCTGGTGTGATGGTGTGTCCCTTGAGCTGTGGATACAGTAGTAGTGCTCGGGGGACGCTGTGTAAGTGTGTCTCTTGGAAGTCTCGTCCCTCGGGTCTCTGCAGTTTTTTTTTTCTTTGTACAAAGTACAACGGACAATAATGTAGTACAGTCATAATACTGTAGGAGGTCAAAGGTAACAATAAAAGTAAATTATTAATCCAGATGTATTCATAATTCATACAAGCTGACACTTGTGCAAAAACACTTTATTTTTTGTTATTTGTGTTGTGTGTGTGTGTACATATTTATTTCTTCCTTTTTAAATGTTTTAATATTGATCGTAGTTAATAGGGATGGGCATTCCAAGCAAAAATAATATTTGAAAATCGCTGGATATTATTCGATTATTATTCGAAAATCGCACCCCTCCCCTGCAAGCATGCACAAACACCCATAAACAGAGAGAGAGGGAGAGAGACTGGATTCAAGCTTTCAATCTGTATGATAAACTGTTTAATTTAGAAGATAGGCTACCTTAACTCAAGCCATATAATGATTGTAATGTATGAAACATATAAATCAACTGCTCATAAGGCTAAGATATTTCCATTTCAAACAATGGAACCCCTAAAGGGAATAGATACGAGATGGGAGGAAAAATATACGTTACTTCAATATCTTCTGTCGCAAATATATCGTTGGGCAATTATACTGTATATAAACTGCAGGCATCAGGGAGCCGTTATTAATATGCGGCGCATTGAAATCGCTTTTGAACGCGCGCTTGTTTTTTACTTTCACTTTCGAGATTCGCGATCACACGTACATACGGAGCAGCACTCAGCAGTACTTACCACACATTTTACAAGATTAGATGCTTGTCAGTGCTGCTCAGGATCTGCAAATCATTCACCATCATCCTATCAGTCATCTCTCCTTACTCTGTTTATGTGGTAAGTGAAATGTTATGTACTGTAATGTAACAGGCTACCACTAGCAAGCGGCTAACCATGTCCCTTTAGTGGCTCCG